TCTTCGATTTTGTAAATCAGCTCACTGAGGAACTTAGGCCCTTGCCACCATAGATCACAATCCAAAAATTCCTCTACAGAGCTACCACGTGAGGCGATGTCTGCTGGGTTTTGTTCAGAGGCAATGTAGTGCCACTGGGTTGGCTCGCTGAGATTACGGATAGTTTGTACTCTGTTGGCCACAAAAACATGAAATCGTCTGGAGTCATTGCTTATATAGCCAAGTGCCACCTTACTATCTGACCAAAAGTGCTCAACTAGATTGGGATATTTCAGCTCTTCTCTTAGGATCCTTGCTATCCTTGCAGATACCATGGCTGCCGTTAACTCTAGCCTCGGTATTGTCATTGTTTTTAAGGGTGTTACTCTGCATTTGCTCATGACAAGTGATACTATTACAGTTCCATCTTCGTGCACTAGTCTTAGGTACGAACACTGACCATATCCTGAAGTGGATGCATCACTAAAGTGGTGAAGTTCAACAGAAGACACCTTTCCAGTTGCATTAGGTGCCTTATAGCATCTGCTAATTTTAATATTGCTGAGGTACTGAAGTTGCTCTTTCCAAGCTATCCAATGTTGGATTGTATCGTCATTTAACGGTTCGTCCCAGTCCTTTCCTTCTGCCCAGACGTTCTGGAGGATTCGCTTCCCCTGTAAAATGTAGGGACCAATTAATCCAAGTGGATCAAACACAGCAGACACAGTCGATAGAATGCCTCTTCTTGTCGGAGGATTCTCTTTCATGTTGCCTTCAAATGTAAATACGTCGAGAGTAGGGTCCCACAGTATTCCCAAAGTACGTTCTGTGGGTAGATTACTCAAGTCCTTCTGGCTGACATTAGATGCGATGCAATCATCTGGTAGTGCTTTCAAAACCTGCTTTGAATTTGAGAGGAATTTATGCAATTTGAATCCTCCTTCCTTCAACATGGCTACCGTCCTCTGGATTAGGTCTATTGCCTCATCCGCTGTCTCAACTGACTGCAAACCGTCATCCACATAAAAGTTGTTTTGGACAAACTCTGATGCATCTTGGCCATACTTGTCTGATAACCGTTTTGCTACATCCTTCAAACTGTAGTTGGCGCATCCCGGATATGATTTAGCGCCAAATACATGCACTAACATTCGAAACTCCTTTGGTGCTTTATTAACATCACCA